ACACAATTAGTGCAAAACACTAGCGATTAAAGCGCAAACTCAACTAAAGTGCAGTAAATTAGAGTGTAATAATCGACTAAAATACGCAATTATAGCCTATCATCAACACCCCACACTTACACCATTGCTCGTCCTCGAGCAATCAAACTACACTTTTTTTTATAGACACGACCTTTTTAAACAATTCTCCTAACGCAGCACACCAAGAGTATTTAAAATAGACTAAGCACAAAAGCGTAACATCTTCACCTCAAGATTTGACTCACAAGTACCACACGTTATTCACAACTCACCCACTTACTCTAATATAGAGGTCACTGACATTACCTTTCCTTCATGAATCAAGTGCCCTCACACAACAAAAGAGAGTAGTTCCACACAATAAAATTTAAGAACACTTAGGAACTCAAGATAGAAAGAATTCACTCACTCTCAGAAATAACATTCATATGCCACAAAAGATGCACCATAAGCTTGCCCGTAGTGTACTACTCCACTAATCGAGCTCATTCAATCTTGGATCAATTAGGACTTTATTTGGTTGTAATGTAGGCTACGAGACGGGTAGGATATATTTAGATATAAGAGTGACTACACCTCCCTAAGCACTTTAATACATACATTTTAACATTCAAACCCCATACTTATGTTAAACCAAACTCCACCTTCACATCAATGTAAATTACCCCATTCTTCTTTAAGCACACTTACGTCAAGAGCCACCACTTATCAAGGAATTTTTTTTTCACAACAATCCAACTATATTTTTTTTCAATTCAAGTGGCTCTTCCTTTTTCAAAACAGTGCATTCAAAACAGTGCACCTTTCTCCTTATTCAATTAGTTCCACTCAAAATCCAAACCAACCACCCCACACTTTAACTTTTACAAAGTTCATAACAATTCAAGTGCTCATGAGAGGTGAAAAGGTTCAAATAGATGGTTAATTCAAACAAATGGGTAAGGCTTGTAATGTGGTTGCCAAAGTAAAAGGATTATAGGCTCAAAGAGGTTAACTACGATACATAACAATTAGGTGGGTAAAATATACATATCTGGCTCAACAAGAAAACGCCTATATCACTTCCAAGACTGAACAACACTACTATTTCGCTTTGCAAACACACGGGGCAAGTTCTAGGCATCAAATGCAATGCACAGAATAACACCAAACCTCACACACACATGGCACATAACTCACTCAGGATTGGAGTCATCAAGACACTCTAGTCAAAGCAGTTAAGCAAATTTAAAATCATACAATTTAAGGTACTTATACAAGAGTCAAAAACTGAGTCTAAGCGTCACAACCAAAGTACTCACTATTCTAAAGGCATAACAAAGTCAAGAGATATTGCTTCAATTCAAAACACAACACAATGGCTCCTACTTCCAAAAAAAAAACTAACTAAACCTGGTTCAAATAAAACCCTTGGAAAAGAACCGCGGCTCAAAGAAAAATCAAGGGGGAATTATTACACTACCTACAAAGAAAATCTTTTTGTTTTTTTTCTTTAGACTTAAATTCCTCAAGAAAATTGTCTAATAGATCCATCGTCGGGAAAAGTACAATCTTTAAAAAAAAATACTATTTAATTAAACTAATACAGCTAAAGTAGCATGAAAAGTCACCCAGACAATCTCTTCACCCACACTTAAAATTGTGCATTGTCCCCAATGCACACCATAACTAATAAAAGGGTACAAGAGACTCCCTGGTAGGCTAAAGGCCGAAGCACTAACAACTCATGGGGTACTCAGACTTCTCCCAAGCTTGGTCCTTTGTGCGGGTACCTCACACTTAGTTCCAGCCATTTGGTTTGCTGTTGCATCCTTCCAATACCTTTGCTTTCCATTCTCCTAAAAAATAAAAAATTGACACTGCAAAAATAATACAATTAAAAAAATAATAAAAAACAAATAAAAGAAAGCAATAAAGCTGGGTTGCCTCCCAACAAGCGCTTGATTTAACGTCGCGGCACGACGCGAATCACTTTTTGCCTCCACCTCGAGCTTATGAATTGAACCCCCAATTTTGATTCAAGCTTATGATTATGGTCATGGGGCGGTGGAATGAATCTAACAGGCCCAAGGAAATAATGTAGTATTCTGCATTCCTTCGTATGAGGTATGTAATCTTGACTGTCTGGCAAGAAGAATTCCAGAATATATGCACCTTGTTCCTCATTCCCTGACTCTTCAATTGGTTTGGATGACTCTATTTCCATATCATCATCCAAACATAATGTGTAAAAATGCTTGGAGTGTGGACCAATGCGCTCAAACACATGAACTTCAGGACTCTCAACATCCTCAACATCAGTGATACTAGAGTCAACAAAATTTATATCCTCAAAGTCCTTGGTTGGCTCTAGTATCACTTCTTCAACATTGACATCCTCAAATTCTAGTTGGCTAGGTTGTTGATGTTCTACTCTGACCTCCCCAATTAACACCTCAAATTCATGCTCTTCTTGGCTACTATCCTCAATATTGGCTTGTTGAGCATTAAAAGCTCCAACCACTTGACTCAATTGAGTCTCCAACTTGCGAATAGTTGCCTCTTGCCTTTCTATGTGCAATTGTTTCTCATTGTTTTGTTCCAGAAGGCACTTTAGCATATCCTTGATCTCCTTCAGGTCCGCATTCCCAGGTTCTTTGTTCCTATTAACTTCACAAGAAAAGGTAGAACCATCATAGTAAGGGGTTGGGGGAAAATAAGAAATATAAGCACAACCATGAAGGTGACCATTTTTACCACCACACATATCACACACATTCCACAAATGAGATTGAGTTGGTGCACATAACTCGCTCTTAGGAACGTTTTGAAAATTTTGCCACGGGTGGTTTCCTTCACAATATGTATGGAGATCAATAGTAGAATTATCTACACCTAAATTCCCATAATTCCAAGATGCTATGTTTCTCAAATCAACAGTTATTAAAAAAATACAAAAAAAATAAAACAAACTAAAAGTTCAAACTTGAACCCTAGCAATATATACAGCTACAACTACACCGTTAGTTCCCCGGCAACGGCGCCAAAATTTGATCACGCCCAACTCTAGTCCTAAAAAGGATAAGCGGTCGCTGCAAATATAATCCGGTCTAAAAGTCCGGAGTCGAATCCCACAGAGAACTAAGGCTTAGCTGTATCTGTTTAATATCACCAAGAAGACAAGATTGAAAATAAATAAACAACTGAAAACTAACTATGCTTGAATTGTAAACAATCAGAATAAAGGTCTAAGGTAATGGTTTCCCCCGTTGTTGATTTCCTTGGTTGCATGTTTCTTATAGCATTGACTTAGTTGCCTCTATCAATCATGAACTCTCCAGCTATCATAAATCTCTCTCAAGAAATTATGATAATTTACTAGACGCACTCTCTCAAGCTACGCTAGCTAGATTCGCATTACAGTTCACTTAGATCGCACCCGAGGTATCGTTATCTCTAATCCAACCTCTAAACCCTCGGTTATGACTCTCGCCTATACTCCGGGAGTGATGTTGTTCAAACAACTACCTAAATATGCACTCTCTCTAAAGCAGATACATAATAAATAGGAACGGCTAATTGAGAATCCTTTCAATTAACCACAATCAAAACATAGTTGAACAAATAGAGATTAAACTAATTCAAATCTATATTACTTATAACAACCAATTCATCCCCAACGGGTTTCACCAAAACCTTAGATTAGAAAAGTTAGCTACTCATGAAAATAACAAAAATCACAAAAGAATTCATATTCAAAGGTAAAAGAACAAAGAAGAAGATTAAAGATTGATGCCCAATGATCCTCCTTGCCTCTTGCCCTTCCTTAGGTCTAATTTGTGTCCAAAATATGTCCCCTCCTTGCCTCTTGCCCTTCCTTCTGATGTTTTTCACTTCCAAAAATCATTCTCTTCCCTCTTGGCCGGCCTCCCTCGTTTAATATAGGGTTTAGGGCTTACAATCCCGTGTTTTGCACTTTAGTCCCTGAAATTTACGCGTCCTTCCGTGGTCCCACCGCGGTTACGCCAGGACCGCGGCCAGAATGGTCCTCTGAATCTTTGGTAATGTTCTGCCGCGGTCCTACCGTAACCGCGGTTTTTCACCCTGTTCCGTTTGGAATTTGGAAAAACGTAAAACATGAAAGTTGTATCCCTTTGAGTTAGCTTTCCAACCATATATTGTAGAGACCAAATGGAGTTCTGAGCAAAATGTTATATCTATTTTACTAGAAAGTGCGCAATATGCCTCATCGAGTCTTCGTTTGTTCTCAACTATCAAATTTGACCCCGAACATGATCCCGGCTTAATTCCTTGAGATTTTACTCAGACTTAATCTTCAAATCACTTAAATTCATTCCATAACATCTATATAGCTCGGAATCACTCTTACAAGGCATAAAACACACAATTAGTGCAAAACACTAGCGATTAAAGCGCAAACTCAACTAAAGTGCAGTAAATTAGATTGTAATAATCGACTAAAATACACAATTATAGCCTATCATAAATTGTATAGCCAACAATTGAATACTATTTACGGATCTTGAGTTGAACATAAAAATGTGAAATCTTGATTGCAATATGATTGAATATGGCAAGTTTTTGAACCTGGGCATGGGGGAATGAATTCGCTTAGGATAGAGATATGTCTAATTGTCTTGCTCAATTATTTTGCAAGAGTTATTAATGTATTATTAAGAATTCTAATATCATTGGCATATAGGATTTAGTAGGGTGTTCAAACCGAAGAGGAAAATCACACTAAATCAAAAAGTCAAACCAAAACGATTAAAAATCCGATTAGGTTTGGATTGGTATTGAGTAAAAAAATTCGAACCAAACTGGCATATAAATATATAATTTTCATATATACTTGTGAGAATTTATATAGAATTTTTTTTTAAAAAAAAAAAACTAATCTAGAAATATTTATAATTCTCTCATGGGGTGTAGTATTTAGTAGAAATATGAAGTGCATCCATTTTTATTTATTTTCAATAATGGTTTGTGTCATCATTTTCTTATCAAGTGTTATTGAAAACAACAGATGTACTTGTGGACAATTCCAGCTTGATGAGCTTCCTTGTGCACATGCTTTGGCGGCTTTGAGGCACAGGAACGAGTCTTATGAAAACTATTGTTCTCCTTATTACACGAGGGAGAGTCTTTTGAAGACTTACGAAATACCAGTAGAGCCGCTCCCTGACGAAAGCAAATGGAATGTGCCACAACATATAGCTGAAGAAGTTGTAATGCCACCCACTGGGAAAAGACAGTCAGGGATACCTCAAAACAAAGATACAAACCATGAAGTAAATGCAAAGAAGTACAAGGTTTCATGTGAAAACCGCGGAGTAGAAGGGCATAACAAAAGATCTTGTAGGAATGCTCCCAAAAGGAAATTAAAACTGATACAGTAACAAGATTTTTTTTCCTGAGTACTGTTGATGATAATTTGTCCTTTAAGACATAGGAAATTGTATTTGTTCTGTTCTGGAGAAATATAGTTGAGTCGTAATTGTGTTGCCAATTTGAATAAAGACTTTCTCCTATAATGAAATATTTGATAAAAAGATTTCAACTCTTAATACAATTGGTTGGTAGTTGTTTTTTTCAAATACTGAGTTTATTTATTACTTTTCAGCCTTTCCTAACAGCACTGCTTAAAATTGAATGGATTATGTATTTTTGTATAATAGTTGTAGACATAATTGTAGTTAAACTGTAAAAAAATTATATAGGGACAATATCGAGATCAAGTACCAACAACTTTCAATAAAAAAAGGCCACAAATATTTTCTATTCTAAGTAGTAGAATTTCTGGACAAAATAACAAAACAAAAGGTAAAATAAATGTAGCACAAATCTGCCACAAATAAATTGCAGCTGACTTGTTCTTAGTTAACATTTTGTCTACAACTTTACTACAAACCAGCTACAACTAAATACTTTAACTACAATTTTTCCACTGAAAATGACAACTAATTCTTCTTTTTACCGACTTGTGTTCTCTCGTTCACAGCTGGTGCACCTTGTTTTCTTACTAATCTTCCAGTTACCTTACTTTCACTAATTGCACCAAGCTCTTGCTTTTTTCTTAGCATAATCCCAAAGCAGCGCTCCATAGCGTCTACGGTGTTGATCAATATCAGAAAGATCTTCCTTTAAAATCGCTAGCTCTCCTATGCTGACATGTTATGCAAATGCCACCAAATATACACCACATTCACTGCAAAAAATAATAGGGAAAAAGATTTAGCATTCAGTGTAAAATACAATCTGTTAAATAGATAGAAGGAATAATAGGGCAGCTTTTTCATACAGTGATCCCTCTTTTTGCTGGAGTATCTCACCGACCAACCACTAAATGTCAAGAGGGTCAGTAATACCTTTTTCAAATTATGCCTTTGTGTTCTTATAGTTGATGTCTAGACGCTTGCCGTAGAAGTCAGTGCATGACAAGTAAAGGGGGTCATAACAGCAAACTTATTGACAACAGATTCAACAAGGTTGTGGTTTCGTAAAGAGACCATAGAATCATAAGCATATAGAACCCTATCGGTAATGTCAAACACAGCCAACAACCAATGAAATTTCTCCACAATGTTTATGGGCATAATCACAAAATCAACTTGATCCCATGCAATATTTGCAAGTAACCTGTACCCCAATATATATTCTGATGCGACGTCCTGGGGTTTGACAACATCAAGCTTCTTATCAGCAGGAGCGTTAATGTATTTGATAAAATTGTTCAATTCTAGTCTTGAAAATACAATCAGTTGTTGTAAAGCGTATTTTGTTATGAGGACCATACTTTTCTCTCTTCCTCAAATAGTATAAAATAACATCAATGTGCTGCAAAAATCAGATTTTATTATTTCTCAATGCTTTATGCAGTTTAACTATAATTTTCAAACAAAAAAATATAGAATTTTAAAATAACATAATACTACAGCTAATTATTAAATTCTGCCAGGGTATGTGTACCGTGTCATTGAGGACTTGCCCGGGATGTGCCAAAGTATAAAACCACTCGTTTTTATCAATTTTCTCCACTCCAAGATCATACCACAGCTTGAGCTGGTTGTCTTTTAAAGAATAAGCGCCTTCCTCCTATATAAACACATATCAAGTAGAAATATTATGTAGTTTCAACTGGAAATCCAAAAATTGTATGCACTTGTAAATATGAAAAATTGTATAATCTAACCTCTTTGAAATCGTGTTGGTACTAGAGTATAACCACTTATTGAATTCTTCCAACAAGTCAGGATATCATTGTCGCCAATAACCCAGTAAATGGATGCTTGATGAGGAAAATTGGAGGTCCAACAGAAGTGCTTCCCCCAGAACTGTAATAAGGGAGAACGGGGGATCTGGCATGCTTTCCAGACTGCCTTGTTCTTCCTTGATGCACAGGTGTTGTTTCATCTTCATTAAGCTTGCCGAACTTAACAATCTAGGAGCAGTTCTCTGGAAGCTCAAAATCATCAACTGTTACATCCCTTTTTCCAGACCTGGAGTCATTGTCCGACATTGATGTAGTCGGCTAGTTCACCTTCAAAATTTAAAACAAAAGAATAACATTTTATGTTGGTTGCATCAGTTCTTTTTGAAAAATTGAAACTTATATAAAACATGTTGTTCTTTTCCTACAATTATATTGTAACATATAATACCACTTAAATGTTGACAACAATCGTCCCCTTGTTGTATAACGTTTGCTTGTTGAATGGGATTGCAAATACGTAGTCTCCTTCTCCTCATTTAAATGCTCTCCTTGTATGCCAACTTTAGCATCTTGGAGAGTCCACATGCATAGGTTCCTTCTCTGTTACATTAAATGTGTACAACTTAATAAAATTGTAGATAATTTGTAGCTAACAGAAAGAACACTATAGAAAAATTGTAGTTTAATTGTAGTAAATTTGTTGAAATGTTGTCCTGTAGCTGAGATGAAATATGTATTGTGAAATGTGTTAATAAAATGTACTAAACCATACCTGCAGTTTCTTCATCCAATTCCCCTTGAAATTGGAAAGATAAGTCAACACCAACAGGAACATTCTCCTCATTTTGAATGTCATTCATGTGTTATACATAAGAAAACAATTGAAAATATAATGTAGGTTATGTGTTGGTAATTTAGGCTATATGTAGATATAATGCATATATAATGTAGATATAATGTAGACATAATATTAATATAATGTAAAATATAATTTTAACAGTTGTGTTAAAATTGTTAAGCTACTTGTTTTACTGCTGCTGGCCAATACTGGTTTATCACTGTCGCGCCCCCTTTTTTTCCTCCCTTTTTGACGGGAAGAGGGGTTCGGGTTTCGACATTCACGGGGTGTAATGACTCATTTCCTTTTGGGAATTGGGTATTTGAAGAGTTGCCACCTAACGGATTATAGTGCATTAGGGCACCTAGAGCGATTAACTCTTAGGTTGGTTTGCATTACGAGAGATTAGGGTAAGGGATCGAAATAACCTCGAGGGGAAGGTGTTAGGCACCCCTCTTGGTCCACAATTGTGGGTCCCAGCCGAACTTGTACTTACGAATTAGTCCAAAAATAAAATAAGCAGTTGAAGCAGATAATTGCAAGCAGAGCATGTTGGGCATTGTATAACTCAAATAAGAATTTAAACAGTTTGTATGTATAAAAGGAAAATAAAGCTTCAAGTAAAGAGGATTTGGGGAGATGGGGGATCCTAGGTTGGTTAGCCTATAGGATCACATCAGTACAATGCCCGGTAATCACTCCTTGGAAAGGGGATACGCGTGGCATTAACGCACCGGTCATCATATCCATGTCTACCCTTCCCGTCCCCTTATTCGTCATGCAAAGCGAGTGTTTGATCAACGATTCCTATTGCGTGCTGCTACCCGTTCCTTCTTAATGGTCCTGGAGGGAATTAGGACCCCTACCTATAGGTGTTTCTAGACGTACCCCTAAAGTTTTAAAAGGCGAAAATTCTAAGGCGACAGTCAAAAAGCATTTATGACTTTCACACATAATGGGAGCAGTTTTAGAGGCTCAGAGTTTCCTCCTCAATCAAACACATAAGCAGCACGACTCAAGCACAGTTAAGGTCTTTTATTAGACAATGTCCTAAAGCAGGATATCTAAGTGAATATGCAGAAATAAACAAGACCCTTTTTTAGACTCAAAAATTAGACCCTAGCAGTTGCCTAAGTATTCCTTTTAAAGCCTGTTAGGATCAGAAAATATGATAGAGACAATTACCGAGAATGCAATTTTGAAAGCGCCCTAGAGGCTTTCCTATACGCAGGATACTGATATCTATTAATGCAGAAACGAACAGATTTTGAAATAGGCTCCGTTAATACTTATAGGCATGATATCTAATGAGATTGAGGCAGTTTGAAGGAACTTGTTTCAGAACTTGCTTAACACTTAATAAGACCAATTCAGGAATGAACTAAGCGTGATTAAAGGAGCTCATTAGACTAAATTAGATTAACAGACAGAATTGCGAGTAGGACTCCCTATAGGCATGATATCTAGGCGTATTACTGATTTTAGTCGATTTGCAAATGTGGCAACATACAGAAGTACTCATTATAACTATATCTGAATTAAGTCCTATAGGCATGGTGTCTATTATTAAACTGATTTTAAGACATGATTGTTTGGACCCTATATGCATGATGGAAGAATGTAAAACCTTATAGACATGGTTTCTACTTGACGAGTAAACAAACTTAAAGGTGAAGTCCTATGAACATGATTTCTATTTGGCAAGGCAATCAGATTCAAAGAGTAAAGTCCTAAGAGCATGCTTTCTATTTAGAACAAACAGACTTGAAAAAGTAAAGTCCTAAGAGCATGTTTTCTATTTAGAACAAACAGACTTGGAAAAGTAAAGTCCTAAGAGCATGTTTTCTATTTAGAACAAACAGAGTTGAAAAAGTAAAGTCCTATGAGCATGTTTTCTATTTAAAACAAACAGACTTGAAAAAGTAAAGTCCTAAGAGCACGTTTTCTATTTAGAACAAGCAGACTTGAAAAAGTAAAGTCCTAAGAGCAGGATTTCTGCCCGTATTATCCCAGAAAATATGTATCTCCCCACCCCTTTTCACTAAATACCCCAATATCTGTTTACAAATCATTACAAGCCAATGAATTACATAAATAAAATAGAAAATCAAGAAGCTATTCAATAGGGAGCCTTCAATTTGGCCCAGGTTTCCCAAAGCCTCCAAAGGTCTCATATGCCTCAGTTTCATAGACAAATCAGAGTCTAGATGCATCAAAGTTCCCTAAGGATCTCAAGGATCCCGGGCAGTGCTTACACCTAGACTTAGCACCCCAGAATTGAACAAGTGCAGTGTGGAATGGCCAGCCTCGGCATGCCAGAGTTCGGAGGTTCTCAAAGGATCCCAAGG